AGGTCATAAAAGAGCCAAGGTGACCATGGGGATGCTGCAATGGACGTAAGTCTGAAAAAGGGTCGTAAGTCACAGTTTTTCAGTGCCGTTGTAACTTTGAGCAGTCACTCCACGAACTGTTGTAAGTCGAGGACTATTTTCCCTCGAAGGGTTCGTTCTTCTTTTTTTTAAAAAAAGCATCCCTTTCCCCCCCCTTTCCCCAATCACAGCTTTTGCAGAACTTCAGACGGATATCCATGAATTGACCAGTGACCTGGATGGGGCAGGAATACCGTTCCTGGATTACCGGACGTATACCATGAGAGTCCTTTTCCCCGGGATTGAAGACCATCCGGTACTAAGGGATCTGGAGGTAAGAATTTGGGTTGAAAAAGAAACTGAAGGCCTTAAAAAAACAACAACAGCCAACCAGCCAACTAACTAACTAACCAACCAACTAGAACAGGGGTGTCAAACTCAAATTTCATTGAGAGCCGCATCAGCATTGCGGTTGCCCTCGGGGGGGGCAGGGGTGTGTGGCCAGGGTGGGTGCGGCCTACTGGGTGGGCGTGAATGGAGTGGGTGTGGCCTGCTGGGTGGGCGTGGCCAGCTCTACATCGTTCGCGTCAAGGGTGCCTGTGGGGGCCTGGGCAGGAGTGGGACAGATCTGAGGGTCTCTGGCAGAAGGGGGTGGGACCAGGCAAGCGCCAAGGCATGGTCCATTTCTTCATTCCTCACAAAGGGTGACCCCTCCCCAGCATGCACCCAGGGGACGGGGCCGACACGGCAGGGGCTGGTTCCTCGCTGTTTCCGGACAGCCTTGTGGAGCTAAGACTGAATGCGTTTCAGCATAGATGGCCACCACAAAATTGTACATTGGCTCCCTCCGGCCGTCCTGGGCCAGGGCCAAGGCAGCGGGGGCCGTTCCCTCACTGTTTCCAGGATGGCTTCGCGGGCCACATGAAACCACTTCACGGGCCGCATCTGGCCCCCGGGCCTTGTGTTTTGACATGTCTGAACTAGAAAGTTAGGTAGATGAATAGGTTGGTTTGGTTGAACTTTCACATGGACATAAAATAATGTACTTATCCCAGATAACAGAATAACAGAGTTGGGAGGGACCTTGGAGGTCTTCTAGTCCAACCCCCTGCTCTTGCAGGAAACCCTCTGCCATTTCAGACAAATGGCTGTCCAGTCTCTTCTTAAAAACGTCCAGTGTTGGAGCATTCACAGCTTCTGGAGGCAGGTTGTTCCATTGGTTAATTGTTCTAACTGTCAGGAAGTTTCTCCTTAGTTCTAGG